GTCCAGTTTCTGCTAGTGAGTCACGGCGACCATGGGAAAAGTTGCTGGGGAACGTCGGCATGAGATGTGTGTGTGTGTGTGTGTGTTTGTGTATGTATGTGTGTGTTGCTCGCGCGCCGGGCCCTGCTCCGAGCGGGCCCGGCTTCCTTCTCCCTTCCGGCACCGCTGGGCGCTTCCTCCTTCCCCCTCGCGCACCGCGGCTTAATTATTTTTCGTATGCTCTACCAACGCCCTATTCGCCAACGAGTCCCTCTGCCTAGCCGCCGACGTAAAAAGTGTGTGTGTGTGTGTGTGTGTGTTGCTTCTCCAGGGCCAGCGAGGTGGGGATCCTCGAAGCGAGCACCCCCGGCCTTTCAGAGGGCTCCCCTGCCTGGCCCGGAATCATCACAAACATCTGCCCATTAGGCAGCCTCTCGGCGAGGGGGCTGCGACCGACCCCCTCCGAGAGGCGACCCCCGTGCCCTCTCCAGGAGGCGAGAGTGCCAGCAGACGCAGACTCGGTGGCGGCGGCTGCTGATGGCCGCCTGGCGCCGAGGCCTGCGGATGCAGCCCGGGTCTGCCAGTGGCGGTACTCATTTGCTGGCGTTCCTGCACCGCGAGGGGCTGCACGGCCTCCGCTCGGTGAGCATGGCTGGCCTCGCCGCAGAACAGGCGTGCGGGTTGCAATATGGCGTGCTGCATCTCGGTGGCCAGCGGGCCTTGCACATCGTCCAGGTATACGGTTACGCTGACGGCCCCTCCGCGGCCGAGTACAACGAGGGGCTGCTGATGGCTGCCGTATCTTGGGTCCGCTCGATAGGGGATGTGCCGGCGCTGTTGGTGGGTGATTTTAATATCGCGCTCCATGTCAGGGGGAGGTAAGAACTGGCACAGGGGACTCGGACATCCCCGACGAGGTCGTCAACAAAAATGACGAGGCCGAGCCTGCATTTGGACGAGGCCTCCCGCTGCAGACATCCCACGAAACTCCTCCTCGTCAAAATCCGAGGCGCGGTCGTCCAAAAACGATGGCGAACCCGAGTCCTGGCAAACCCGGGTCTTACGCTCCCCCGACCATGGTACGAGCATGGAACCCCTCCTGGCGATGGCTGGCTGGCAGGATATTTTGGCAGTGGCCGGACCAACGTGCTTGCCAAGCTCGGGCCGCCCGTCCAGGATAGACTGCGTACTCGCCAACAGGGACACTGCGGAACACGTGGTCTCCGCCGGCTTACGCTGGCATATTATTGGCGACGCACGCAGCTTCGGAGGTTGAGTTGTCGATCGAAGCGCCTGAGGTGCCCCTTGATGGGCCCCCTTCGGACGGGTGGCCCGACCACCGACAAGCTGTCACCGACGAGGTGGTCCGAGTGCTGCATGGGCGGCCCTTCGAGGCCGCCCTCCGCGACGGCAACATGGCGGCGGCGTGGGCCACGCTTGAGGCCTCCATGCGCCAATGGTTTGGCCGTTGAGTGGGTTACGTTCGGCCGCCCGAGCGGCGGCATGCCTACGCGAGGTGGCAGGCCTGCCGGCCCCGCCCCATTGGCGCGTGTGGCGAGGCGCGTGACAAGGCCGCAGATGCTTCGTTGCTCTGGCTGCGGCGCCTCCGCTTCTGTTTTTCGATTACCTTATGCCATTCTAGTTCATGCTAGTCTAGTCTTGCCGGAAGCATGAATAATCATTGACACCTCATGTGAACCATCCTGGAAATCCCTCGAAGCCTTTTTCGGGTCTTCTCAGGTTGCCCTTGCGTACCCCCCTCTGGCTCTCGGCCGTTCAAGGCGCATCTCCCCCATGGGACCCTCCTCCGGAGGTCCTCTCAGGAACTTCGCGCTAGAGCGCTGCAGGCGAAGGCCTGGTTTTGAACGGGGGGCGCAGGGCCGCGGCGCAGCAGCAGCATCGCGGCGCAGCCTCAGCACGCAGCAGCGCAACAAAGCAACATCACAGATGGGAGCGCCCCTCAGAGATCCCCCTTTAGACAGGCCCCCCTTCGGACAGGTGCCACCTCAGAGAGGCCCCATTCGGGGGCGACGCACCAGTGCAGTGGCAGCGCAGGCTCGAGCTTCCTGCGTCAGGCTTCATAGACCGGCCATTTTCAGGCTTCGCAGACCTGCAGCTATGCTCGCCCCCTCGCTCGCTGTCGCGGCCGTAGCGGCGGCCATCAGCTTGCGCTTGGCTCAGGGCCGGGGCCGCGTGGAGCTCTGCGTCGGTTGCCGTCGGGCCGGCCTCCTGGGGATCAGTGCTTGCATCTTCTACGGCGTCTGTCAGGAAGTGCAGGCCTCGCAGGGCGCCCAGCAGTGCGATTCGGAGATGGTGTCAGGGGTCAGCCAGCGGCTCAGCGTCGTCGAGTTGCGGCTCATGTTCGCCCGATTCAGCCCCCTCGAATGCAGTCGACAGATGAAGGCGGCAATCGTGGAGTGGCATCCGACCAAGGGCCCCTCGCGCGCGCCCGGGCAGATTTTTCGGCCGCGCGCGAGGCGCGCCCGGCACTTCCTTCAGCGCGTGAGGGCGTTAACTGCGATCAACTTCGCGACCCAGGAAACAGGCGCGGACGCGCCGGCGATCCGCGCAATCAGGCAGCAGCTGACGACGCAGTGGCACCAGTAGCTCCACGGCCTCAGCGGCGGGTACGATTTGACCGCGCACGTCTCAGCAGTGGCCGCGCAGTCCCCAGTCGAGCAGCAGATCGACTTCTTCGCCCTCGAAGTGAGCTCGACCTCAGGGCCGCCGGGGTCGCCAGGGCCACTCGGGCCCCGCGGGCATGTCTGCGCGGTGCCGCAATGGGTAGGATCAGGCCTTGTTCTCTCGGACCTTTTTTTCCAAATTCACAGAGCTAGATCCTTCTAAGTGGAGGGCAGTGCTCAGTTCCAGCGCCCGGCCACTTCTAGGATTTGTTCGACGGCCAGTCTTCGGCGCAGGTCTTCCAGCGAAGGTTCGCATCACCGTGCAGACCCGCGCCACAGGGGGAGCTAGAGGGCAAAGTCTCCCTCTGGCTCCTCAGGTCAACTCTCAGCGCAGCAGGCTCAGCGCACCCAGCTCAGCCTCCAGCGATCTCGCCGGCTCAGTGCGAGTTAGGAGCACAGGAGGGCTCAGCTTTCGCGCGAGGTCCGCACTCAGCTTGCAGCCCTCGGTGAAAATCATCCATCCTCACCGCCAGTATATTGACGTCTCTCTGCTCCACGTTTTACTCATATCCAGTCTTGGTCAGACTGGCCAGGGCCAAGCACGCGCAGACTCACTCAGCCCAGACTTGCCCCTCTCAGACACAGTCGCACTCAGGCGCACACGCGCTCGGACTCATGCCCCACTGAGGAGCCCTACCATAGTGAAAGACCGACGCGCTCGCACTCGCTCGCACTCAGACACAATCAGACACACTCGCACGCACTCTGACTCCACTCGATTTCGCACGCACTCGCGCCCAGGCGCACTTCTTCGATTTGCTTGCCTCCCAACCCTTTCCAGCGCCTCTCTTTTTCGCCCCGCGTGTCCCCCCTTCTGTTTTGCTTCGGCGATAAAGCTATCGCCCTGCCATGCAGGGGCCTCGCTTTTCTTCTCAGCGGTGCCGGCGATGACCCCGGAGGGGTTCTTAACAGCACTCTCCGGTTGAGGCGATCTAGCACGTGGGCGACGACAGCGCGGCCGCAGCGCCCGACCCGGCCAAGCTGGCCGCCCATCATCGGTCTGGTGCCCCTGTCGATGCGCTGGACCTGGCGGGCGACAAGTGCCGACCGTGCCATGGGGGCCCAGACTCGCTCATCGCGCTGCCACTGGCGGAGCTGGCGCAGATCCAAGACCCCGCGGTGCCGCACTGGGAGCCCCGCCTGGGGGGCTCACTCGCGGCGCGCTGGGATTGTGTCCGGCGGCTGGATCGCGCGGGCCTCATCGCGCGGAGAAAGCGCGCACGTTGCGAGTGCGGCGCTTGTCCATGGGCAGAAGAACGACGCCATCAGGCTGGTGCTGGGCTGCAGGGCGACGAACCAGTTCCACCGGCGGCCGCCGAAGTCGGCGCTGGCGACGCCAGGCCCGCTCTCGAGCCTCGCCCCGCCCTGGCAGTGGAGTGGCGCCGCTTGTCGGCTGCCGACCTCCCGTCGCGCGACGCGCGGCCCGACGGCGTCGACGTGATCGAGCTCTCGCGCGCCAGCATGGACCTCAAGGGCGGGTTCTACCAGTTTCGGGCCGACAGCGTCGCTCCGTGGTTCTCGCTCGGCGCCTCGGCCACGGCCTGCGACATCGGCATCGCCGAGGTCTGCGATGTCGACGTGCTGCGGGGCCTGCCGATCGAAAGCTACGAGCTGCTCTGGGCGTGTTTTGGTGGGCTGAAGCTGGGCGATGTTCTTCTGCCGCGGTAGCTTGGAGGCGGCGTTGCGCCGTGCTCTGCGGCGGCTGCAGCTCTCAGGGGTGGCCCTCAGGGACTGGGGGCCGCCGCCGCCCCTCGGCGGGGCCGCCGCCATCGCTGCCCCCTGCGCGGGCAACGGCAACATCATCGACGGAGGCCCGGAGGCCGCGCTCAAGCTGTTCAAGGCGTTGCAGGGCGAGCTCGCCAAGACCGGGTTCGTGCTCCACGAGGAGGCCGAGCCCGCGGCCGACTACGAGCTCGACGGCAGGCAGATCAAAGGGCGTCGGAGCAGCCTCATCCCGAGACCGAGACGGATGTGGCGTTAGTGGCTGGCCATCGACGATTTCTGCCAGTTGCGGCGGATCGCGCCTTGCCAGCTCCGCAGGCTCATCGGCCACCTGGTCGACGTCAGCGTGCGCCGTGAACTCCTCAGCTGCCTCTGCTCCGTCTACCAGTTCGCGGGCAACGGGCTGGGGCCGCCTCGCCCCTTCGACGGGGCTGTGGTCGCGGTGCTGCGACTTGCCCAGGGCTGGCTGGCGCTGCTGGCCGCGTCGGCGTTGGGCAGGAGCATCGCGCGCGTCGCGTGCTGCTCCGACTCCAGCTCCAGGGGCTTCGCCGTCCGCGTCGCCGACGCGGGGCCGCGGGAAGCCTGGGGCGCCGCTCAGTTGCGCGAGAGATGGAGGTTCAGAGAGCCCGACCCCGGGCCGCTGCCAGATGATCGAGGATATGATCTGCGAGGCGCGTTGGCACCAGGCGCCGAGGGCGCGGTGGCCACCGGCGACTTCGCGGCTCGCGCGCCTCCTGCTGGCTGCGCCGCCGCCGACTGGGCCGCTCGCCCCCGTGGAGGTCGTGACGTGGGCCGCGTGCCCCGGCCCGCGCAGAGCTGGGGCGGGCCTGGCCGCCGGCGCGCCGCGGCTGTCGGCGCGCGGCGGCTACTTGGCACGATTCGCAATTTCGAGGCGCGCGCTGCAATCATGGGCCATGGGCCTTGAGGACTTCCTGCGCAGATCCCGCGAAACACTCGCGCGTGCTGCTCTCGCTCGCGGACAACGCGTCCGAGGTCCTCGCCATGGACCGCGGCCGAGCGAGGTCATTTGGGCCCCCGGCCATTGTGCGGTGGGCGGCCGCCCTCCAGGCGGGCGCCAACGTTCGCTGAGCTCTCCCCCCAATCGAGTTGGAACTCAACCCGAGCGACTATGCCTCGCTGTTGCCGCGCCTCGAGGCTGGAGAGGTCTGCCGCGGGCGCGCCGCCGCGGCCCTCGACCCGGGCCGCCTACGGCCGCCTGCCGTGGCGGAAGTGCGCCAGCACGTTCCGGCGGCACTTGTCGGGGACATGCTGGCTTCGGAGCTGGTCGACGAGGCCGATGAGGACGGACCTCCAGCGCGGGGGGGCACGTGGGCGCGCCAGAACGTTCCGGCAGCGCCCTCCTGCAACGCGCTGGAATCAGAGCCTCAAGCCGGCAGCGCGAGAGGGCAGCGCCATTCTGGAACATGCTGGAGTCGAGGCTGGTTGACGAGGCCGACGAGGACGGTCTGCCAGTGCGAGAGGGGATCGCCGTTGCCGCTGCCGCCTTCGGCCGACGAGAACGAGACGTCCGAGCGGTGCGACCGGGCCGGCCACCGCGCCCGCCTCGGGTAGAAGTGCGTCTTCCGCCCTCTCTGCGACGCCGTGGGAAGGTACCCCTCGAGATCTTTGCCGGGCGCGTGCGGCTGCACGCAGCAGTCGCGCTTCAGGGGCTGGCCGTCGCTGTGCCGATCGACATCGCGACCGGGGCCCACTTCGACGTCATCCCACTGGCCGTTGCGGACGCGGTCGTCGGCTGAATCAAAGGCGGCCTCTGTCTGGGCCGTCGCCGCGGGCACGCCCTGTACCAGATGGAGTTCGGCTCGACGCAGCGAGCCTGCTATGCGGACGGAGAAGGACGGGCCCACGTGCGCCATGTTCACCGTTCGCGTCCTTCATGGAATGTTTTGCTCACAACGTGCTCGCGGCGGTGGAGAGCCCCTGGTCATCGGGGCTCTGGAGGCGGCAGCCGCCGCGCCGAAGAGGCGCGCGAGCGGCGCCGGGCCCACCTGCGCGTCTACGGCTCGGCCTAGAAGAAGCCGACGCGCCTCGGCAGCAACGCCCCGGGCTTCGCCAGCGCAGTCATCAGGCGATGCCCAGGCTGTCGGCAGCGCGTCGTTTTCCAGGGCCCCGTCGTCCTCGGGCGTCGGCTGGCGCTGGCGGCTTTGCGCACTGCTGCTTGCCTTCCAGCTCTTTGTCGCGCCGTGGCAGGCGCGCTGGGCGACGCCGCTCCGCCGAGCGCCCACTACAAGCCGGGCGAGCCCCTCTTGGCGCCCGCGTGGGAGGGTGATCTCCGGCGGGCGGCCGCCTCAGCCGAGCCCGGCACAGGAGCCGCGACGGCGCCCCCGGCCCGCCCGCCTCGGGCCGCGCTCGGCCGGGGCGGGGGCGAGCCGCTCGCGGGACGGCCTCGACCTGAACCGGGGGAGTTGCATCCCCCGCGATCGCCGAGCTGGAGTCTCGCAACCGCCGCCGCGGACATAGGCAGCGCCAGCACGGCGCCGAACAGCTTGGTTTTCTTGTGAAGATCACGGCGCCGGCCATCACCAGCAAGCGGCGCGAGGCTTCCTGCGCCAACGCGGCGCGCTTCCTCGGCCAGTTCGCGCCGCCCGCCAACAACGCGGGCGCGCGGGGCCGCGCCGTCGAAGACAGTGTCGAGAAGCTCTACTTGGCCGGCACTCGTGCCACTGGGTCGCCTTCGTCGACATGTGGCCGAGGGGGGCACGTCTCTCACGCCGCGATCGCGGCTGGTGTTGCTGGGTTTCGCGCGCTCTTCGTCGGGGCGCTGCCGGGGCCCGCCGTGCACGGGGCAGGTCTATTTAATATTTGGCCAGCGATTACTTCCTGGGGCGAGCCGTCGGCGACCAGCTCCTGCTCTGCTCGATAGCCCCGGCGCGCGCCTGGCTCAGCGTCGACTGCTACCCGAGGCCGTCGGAGGGCCCGGCGCTGGCGGGCGCCGCGGCCAGCCGACCGAGGCGCGGGCGTTGACGGTCGCCCCTCGCGGAGGCCCGCCAGCGAAGAACAGGAGGTTCGACGCGGGCGCGGTGGTTGGCGCTCACGACCGCGGCTGGACATGCGACCTGCTGGTGCTGCTGGCGCAGATCCACCCCGCTTCCGCGGCGTCTCCTCGTTTCCCGCGGCGTCGCTTCCCGCGGCGTCGCCCTCGACTCGTTGGAGAGGTTGCGCGCGGCCTTCTGCATGCAGGGCCAAGCCGCGACTCCGCGGTCCACGGAGTGGCGCTGGAGGACATCCAGCAGCGCGGGCGATGGGTGTCGTTCGAGAGCTGCCGCATCTACACCAAGCCGGCCAGCCTCGCCCGGTCGTTGGCACGCGTCTCGGACGAGCATCTCCAGCAGGCGAGGCGCTTGCGTGAGCAGCTCCCGGCGCGCGCTTGCGGTGGTCAGTGAGGCCGTCGCAGGTGCTCGGCGTGCCGGGAATATCGGTAATTCAAATTCTCTCCGGATCTGATGCGACCATCGGGTCCGTCGCCTTGCGGGACGCGGCCCCCCGGGCACTCCTCGCTGCGTCCGCGAGCCGGCCCAGCGCAGTGGTAAAAACAGAAGACCGATCCGACGTCGCGCCACCGTCGTCGTCTGGCCTGGATCTTGCTTGTGGGCCGAAGCACGCTTCGTCGCGGGATGTAAGAAGTGCTTGCACAGTATATCCCCCTTCATAGTGCTTCCGCTGGTTGTTTCTCGCCACTTCCCCCCCCTTCCCCTTACCATGTCTCTTCTCGTTTCCTTCCCCTTGTGTGTCCTTGACGGTGTTGTTCCACTGACTTGCGGAGGTTATTGTGCTTTGTTGGGCCCCACTAAATCAGCACTATTCGAATTGTCGCTGGATTTGACGCGACCATCAGCTCTGGCGTTTGTCGTCTGGCATGGATATTGCTTGTGGGCCGAAGCAAGCTTCACCGGGGGATGTATATGTATATCCATATATATATATATACACATACACGGCTTTTGCACCAGCGCTGCGCACGTTCCTTTCAGTTCAAGGACTCGGCGCGGAATTCTCCATATGTGCACATCGAAGTCTGTCAATGAGTGTCCGGGTGTGAGAGCGAGCCAGCGTAGACGATATTCGCGGCAATGACGACGACATCAGAGACGATTTCAGCGACGTGCCTTTCCACTGGACATTTTCCCGAGGAGAGCCGAGGGAACGCACAACTGGAACAACGAAGGGGAAGTTGTTCTTTTCGCTTTTCCGCCGCAGTTCACGCAAGTGCGCATAGCGATGCTACGCCCGCCCTGCGGCGTGCTACTGGCGGCGCCTGCTGGCACTTGTTGTGCCTAAGTTCCACGCTTGCTGCATCGCTGTAGCAACCTGTGTTTGAACCGCAATGCGAGTGAAAATGAGCGTAGGTGATCTCATTGTGCGCGAGTCGGAGTTTGAGTGAGCCCGGGTACGGTCGAGCTTGACTGTGCGTGTGTCTGGCTAAAGCCAGTGCGAGTACGAACGAGTCTGAGTATGACTGTTTTTCAGTGCGAGCGGATCCAAACAGGTCTGCGTGTGACGGCGGCTCAGCGTCGGTGAGCCTGAGCTTGAATGTGATGAGTACAAATATGAGTACGGGCGAGCCTGGGTGCGAGGTAGTTTGCGTATGGGTGAGTCAGAGGGTTGGATGTACGAGTTTCAGTATGAGCCACCAAGTCTGTGCTAACGTGAGTACGATCGTGTATGAGTATGAACGAATCAGAATGTGATGAGTTGGCCAGAGAGAGAGAGAGAGAGAGAGCGAAAAAGGTGTTGATGAGTAATTCCGAGTGCGAACAAGGGGCCCGGGTGGTGCCAATGGGGAGCAGGTGAGTGAGTGAGCGAGGAGCACGCAATTCCCCCCAGAATTGGGGAGGGCAGAAACAGGCACACCTCCTGACACATCTCCCCAAACTGACCGCGAATCACGACGTGTCCACACCCTTGGCGGTTCCGAGTCTCGGGGTGTCCAAGTGCCACGCCTGGTGGATCACGGTGGGCATTGGACCACAAAACGCGGGGGGGAGGGGTGAAACAGGGAAGCCGTTTGAGACATACCCCATATTTGAATGCGGAACTTGGAGTGTCCCCACCCCTGGCGGGTCCCCTTTAGGGTAACGCGCTTTCTTTTGCGATTTCAGAGCGTATGCGTTTTAGTTGCCGACTCAAAGGAACGCCCATCCATGCGACGCGTGTGAATTACTTTGGGTTTGATTGGGTGTGAGTGGGTCTGCACGTGCTGATTCTGAGTCTGAGTGAATTTGGGCGCCAGTGAGTTTGACAGCCAATGGGTGTGAGTGTGAGCGAGTCACAGTGTGAGCGAGTTTGGATGCGAGTGAAGCTGAGTGAGTGCGAGTTTGAACATGATTGGGTACGAGTGATTTTGAGTGTGAGTGCGTCAGTCTGTCTGAGGAATGGGAGGAAGAGAAGGAGATGAAAAGGAGGAGGGTATGTCCTCTCGAATCCGTTTACGTAGTAACCCAAACAACATATTGAAAACATATGGGTAAATATGGCAACAGGTCGAAGAATCCATATCGTCGAACTCACAGGAATGTTATACCAGCACGATTTAGGATTGTCAAGACGCATCAAAGACGTTGGTTCGTTATGTTGAGGTCCCCAAAGTGGTTTTGAGATTTCTGACACAACTTTTGGAATAGCAGGACGCGGCGCTGAAGTCCCAGTTGTGGTGTTCGGGCGCAATTGAGTATGATCAGACGGGTTGTATTCCAGTGGGGCGCTTCCCGCCATGATGACGGAAGTCTTGCATGGGCCCATACATGTGGAAGTTGGAAGGGGTTTTTGGTAGCCGCGTTGATGTCTTTTTTGTTTACAGTGGTCCTCCTCGTGAAATTCAGGGTCGGCGGCGCCGACCGCAAGGCCGTCGTAATTGATTTGAGGTGGGAACCGACCGGCAGGATTGGACCGTGGGAGAGGTCCGTGGACAGGGACGAGGAGGGGGGAGGATCGAGGCTCGACTGGGAAAGCGCGGGGCTGCTCACAAAGAACCTGAAAGGTTGGGCGTCACGAGCAAAATGCAACGTTCTGCTGCGTTTTTCGAGCTGGATCGGACCGTGAGGGCCCCCCAGGGCCTGCCCCGAGGCCAATTTGCTCGCTGCCACAGGAATGCGACGCCAGGACCTCAGGCCCTCCCCTCCTGTCCGTGCGCGCGGCCGGCAGGCCCTCGACCTCAGCCGCTTCGTCAGGGCCGGCGCCGCCTCGGACGACGAGGAGTACGAAGAGGGCGCATTACCTGACTCCCCCGCTTGTCGCTTCCGGGCAAAACCAAGCCATGCCACGCGCCTCCTCGTCAAGCAGCCCAACCGATGCGGGCCACACGACCACGGGCACCTTGGTCTTGCTTGGTTCCTGTTTGGAAGCGAGGGTGGGCAAAAGCCTTTTCTGAGGACGGCAGCTCCAGCGGCAGCGGCGGGAGCCCCAGCAGGCGGCGCCGCATCTCGCCTGCGGCCCCCGCGCCGCAGGCTGCCGGCGGGGGGGGGCTCTTCGCGCTCCTCGCGCGATGGTGCCGCGCCTTGGCGCGGCAGGGCCCTGGGCGCTTCGGATTCGGAGGGGGCTCCCCTAAGACCCTGGTGTCGCAAAGTTCTCAAACGGGGCGATGTTGCCTCGCTTCGACGTAGGGGTCGATGTCGTCGATCCGACTTTCTGCTACGTTCTCGGCGGTTTTCCGACCTCGGGGTGCATTCCAGCAGCTGCGCTTCGCCGAGCAAGTTCTTGGGGTGCCCAGACCTCCCCAATCGGCCGCTGGAGAGCCGAGTTATGACCCGAAAACATCAGAGGGTTGGGGCAGACCCTGAGATCTTGGCTTCGCCATTTTTCATAACGAGCGACGTCGCCTCGTTTCGGGACCCGGGGCCTTCACGGATCAATCCCATTTGGAAAATGCTGCAGAAGGATGGGCCCAGGGTTCGGCAGGCGTTGTTTTTGCGATGGTGCAGTTTTTCGTGACGTCGGTTCTCAGGGCTTCGGGGATCGGAGCGGGCTTGCTCGTGGGGCTCGCTGTCCTCGCCTTGGTGCCTTTAGTGGGCATGTTAGGGTCCTGGGCGCTCTGGGTGTCGGAGGAGGGCGGGGTTCTTCTTTCTGTGCCTTGCTCGTCGCCGCTCGTCGGGCGAGGGGGGCCTGCTCGCTCGTCGGCGCCAGCTTCGGCGTCCTGGGGAGCCGCCGTCGCTGGCTGGGCCTCGCCCCGAAGCTCTGGCGAGGACTGGCCCCGGGACGCGTCGGGGGAGGTCGCTGCAATCTTCAACTCTCCAGCTGCCTGTGGCAGGCCCCGCCATTGGGTGGCGGCGTGGCGGCTGCGGGGCGGCTGCTCGAGGGGCGCGGGAGGCTGTCACGTGTGACACTTTGTGCCCCCATGCTTTGGAGAGCCGTGATGGGGATCATGGGGACGGTGATGAGAGACTGCTGATGCCAAGGAGGAGGAGGAGGATGCAGATGACGGCCGCCAGACGTGACACCTTCCGTCTTCACTTCCTGAGTAGCTCTCACGCGTGGAGCTCACTTGGGCCGCCTTGGGTCTGTCTTGGCCTCCTGTGGGGCTGTCTTGGGGTCTCGTGGGGCCTCTTGGGGTCGTCTTGGGCCGTCTTGGGGTCCTCTCGGGCCATCTTGGGGCTCTCTTGGGCCGCCTTGGGGCTCTCTTGGGCCGTGCTGGGGTCCTCTTGGCCGTATGGGGGGGCCCTCGGAACCCAGCGGGCCCACGGCGGCGCCTGGGGCGGCAACGGCACCGGCGACGACAACGGCGACGACGGCGACGGGGGTGGCGGTGGCGACGGCGGCGCCGCCAGCGACGTGGGCCTCCCGCGCGCGGGCCGCAGGCCCGCGGCGGCGGCCCCGCTTCCGCCGCCCCGGCGCGGCCCGCGGGATCCGCGGCCGAGGGCGAGCCTGGCAGGCCCCCGCGGGGGGCGGTCGCCGCCCCGCGGCTCGCGCGCAGCCGCCTCGCGCCGTCCCCGTCGTCATCCTCTGAGCCCGGGTCTCTCGCATGCGGGGCCCATCAGCTGGTGCCCCTCCCCCCTGGAGGCCGACCCCGGCCCTTCCTCGAGCTGAACCACCTCTCGGGACTTGCCTCCTTCTGGTGGCGCATCCGTCTTCGCCGCCCGAGCCCGGCTCCCTTCGTCCGAGCGTGGGTGGCCGTTCGCCGCTCCATGGATCGCGCGGCGTCGCCGTCCCGCGGCTCGGGGCTCGAGGATCCGAGGTGCGAGGGTCGGGGCCCGAGGACTCTAGGCCTCCCAAATGGGGTCCGAGTGGATGGGGTGGGAGGAGCACGCCGCACCGCCGATGCACTGGCGATGCAGCCCGACGACGTCCACCCGGCGATGCGCCGCTCGATGCGCTGGTGCGGAAACCTATTTTCCCCGCGCCGACGCCGCCGAAGCAGCGGCGACTTTGCAATGCATTGGCGACGCGTCAGCAATGCGGCGCGTCCCTCAGATCACTCCGACCCCATCTGGGAGGCCTCGAAGGCTGAAGTTTCGATGATCGAGGGTCGATTCGCGGACGACTTGTGTGTACCGTTCCGCGTTGGCGTTTCCCGGGGCATCGTCGATCCTCGGCCCGAAAGTGGTAATGTGCATAGGTTGGTTGGCCTTCAGCATGAGCCCAGCAGGCGCCCGCAGCGGGCGGCCGCCCTTCCGCGGCTCGCGCGAAATTTTGCGTGGCGCTATTTCACAGCCTGGCGCGGCCGATACGACTCGATCTTGGCTCCCAGACCCCCCCGGGCCACGAACAAATCAGAGCTGTAGTTGTTGGTTCTCACCGATAACGGTTCGAGGAGGCTGAATTCGGCGAGATGCCTCGGGTGGTCGAATGACCGCGGAAATCTGTGAGACATCGGCGGCGACGACAACATTTTCGTTCTTTTTGTTCCTCTCCCGCTCTTCCTCTTCCTCGTCCTTCTCTTCTTCTTCTTTTTTTTCTTCTTCTTTTTCTTATTCTTCTTCTTATTATTATTATTCTTCTTATTCTTCTTCTTTTTCTTCTTTTTATTATTCTTCTTCTTCTCGATCGATGTAGATGCCCGAGGCGGTTCTGGCTGCCTTTCCAGAGATTTTGTCCCAACCCTCCTGCGTTGGGTACTCGTTTTGAATAGAGCACTGCGGTCTCCACCTTCCTTCCTTTCTTCCCGCCTCCTCCTCCTCTCTTCCCTCTTCCTCTCCTCTCTTGCTTGCCTTCTCCTCCTTTCTTCGCTCCTCCTCTTCTCTTCTCTTGCCTTTCACGTCATCCCTGGCGGGCTGCAATCTGCGGAACTGTCACCACTTTCGAGGGCTGCTGGTGGGTCCAGCGGAGTGAGGCACCACGGGGACTCAGATTAGACCTCGCCATCCCTGGGGGGGGGGGGCTGCGATCTGTGAAACTGTCGCCACTTTCGAGGGCTGCTGGTGGGTCCAGCGGAGTGAGGCACCACGGGGACTCAGATTAGACCTCGCCATCTCTGGGGGGGGGCTGCGATCTGTGAAACTGTCACCACTTTCGAGGGCTGCTGGTGGGTCCAGCGGAGTGAGGCACCACGGGGACTCAGATTAGACCTCGCCATCTCTGGGGGGCTGCGATCTGTGAAACTGTCGCCACTTTCGAGGGCTGCTGGTGGGTCCAGCGGAGTGAGGCACCACGGGGACTCAAATTAGACCTCGCCATTTTTGGGGGGCGCGATTGTGAAACTGTCGCCACTTTCGAGGGCTGCTGGTGGGTCCAGCGGAGTGAGGCACCACGGGGACTCAGATTAGACCTCGCCATCCCTGTGTGAAACTGTCGCCACTTTCGAGGCTGCTGGTGGGTCCAGCGGAGTGAGGCACCACGGGGACTCAGATTAGACCTCGCCACCCCTGGGCGGCTGCGATTTGTGAAACTGTCGCCACTTTCGAGGGCTGCTGGTGGGTCCAGCGGAGTGAGGCACCACGGGGACTCAGATTAGACCTCGCCATTTTTGGGGGGCGGCGACTTGTGAAACTGTCGCCACTTTCGAGGGCTGCTGGTGGGTCCAGCGGAGTGAGGCACCACGGGGACTCAGATTAGACCTCGCCATCCCTGTGTGAAACTGTCGCCACTTTCGAGGCTGCTGGTGGGTCCAGCGGAGTGAGGCACCACGGGGACTCAGATTAGACCTCGTGGGCGGCTGCGATCTGTGCTCTGCTGGTGGGTGGCCAGCGGAGTGAGGCACCACGGGGACTCAGATTCTGACCACGCAATGCTCGACGTGGCGACTCGAGCTGGCGGTCGTCCTTCGGACCCGCAGAAACATTTGCTGAGCTCGATGAGCTAGGGGAACTACAGGAAAGAAGTGCAGGAAACGGAGGCCGGTCATGCACTCGCCGATACCTCGTTGCTCTGTCATCGTCTTTGCTGTTGCATGATCCTTATCTGGCCTGCCGGCGCCGCGGCTCGAGCTGGCGGTCGCCCTTCGGGCCCGCGGGAACATCTTCTGAGACAAGTGGACGCCGCCGCCTTACTTGCAGGCAGCGCATTGCATTCGCGGACAGCAGCATGGCAGACCGCAGTGAGATCCTCAGTCGCGTGGTGTTGCCAAGCCTGGTGGAGACGCGCGTGATCGACCTGAAGTCCCAATCGCGCGTGCACTGTACCTGCGTGGCGTTCAGGCACGCGCGTGATGCTGCTCGCTCCGCGTTCAACCAGTACGTCGCCAGTGCAACTTTGGACGATGGACAACCGATTGATGATGCGCGACCCCGGCCTTGAGTTTCTTTCCCGCGGGCCGCCCGCAGACCTGGCGGCGCGCCTGCGAGCGTTCAGCTCCCGTGCTGAAATGTGCGGGAAGGAGGCGGAGAAGCTAGCGGGCGAGCTACGCCTCGCTCGTTCCTTGCACTCTAAACAAGTTTTATCATGTGGAACTCTGCGACGACATGGCGCAGGCAGCGCTGCGGGTTTAGCTCGCACTTGAAAAACGCGGCAGTCTTCTGTCTCCCCCCGCCACTTTCATCGTCGTCCTATTCCCCGCCTCACCTTCTCCATGCATGCTGCTGCGTCCGCGATGGCCTTTTCGCCCCCCCCGCCCTCCATTCCATCCCTCTCCTACCCCTCGTTCCCGCGCCCGTTCTTCTTCGATCCTGGGGCCTCAGCCTCGTTCTTTCGATCGTCGCCCTGTGAATCGTGCAGCGCATGCGCATCCCATGTAGCTTGCGCAGCAAATCGCCGCGTCTACACTGTCGTTGTTCCTGCTAATGTTGGCATGCTCCTCTTGCCATTGATGCGCGTGGGTTGGGTACGTCGCAGGGTAATCCCAACCCTCCTGCGTTGGGTGCTCGTTTTGAATAGAGCACTGCGGTCTCCACCTGCCTTCCTTCCTTCCCGCCCCCTCCTCCTATCTTCCCTCTTCCTCTCCTCTCTCGCTTGCCTTCTCCTCTTCTCTTCGCTCCTCCTCTTCTCTTCTCTTGCCTTTCACGTCATCCCTGGCGGGCTGCGATCTGCGGAACTGTCGCCACTTTCGAGGGCTGCTGGTGGGTCCAGCGGAGTGAGGCACCACGGGGACTCAGATTAGACCTCGCCATCCCTGGGGGGGGGGCTGCGATCTGTGAAACTGTCGCCACTTTCGAGGGCTGCTGGTGGGTCCAGCGGAGTGAGGCACCACGGGGACTCAGATTAGACCTCGCCATCTCTGGGGGGGGCTGCGATCTGTGAAACTGTCGCCACTTTCGAGGGCTGCTGGTGGGTCCAGCGGAGTGAGGCACCACGGGGACTCAGATTAGACCTCGCCATCTCTGGGGGGCTGCGATCTGTGAAACTGTCGCCACTTTCGAGGGCTGCTGGTGGGTCCAGCGGAGTGAGGCACCACGGGGACTCAGATTAGACCTCGCCATCTCTGGGGGGCTGCGATCTGTGAAACTGTCGCCACTTTCGAGGGCTGCTGGTGGGTCCAGCGGAGTGAGGCACCACGGGGACTCAGATTAGACCTCAGTGAAACTGTCGCCACTTTCGAGGGAGCGGAGTGAGGCACCACGGGGACTCAGATTAGACCTCGCCACCCCTGGGCGGCTGCGATCTGTGAAACTGTCGCCACTTTCGAGGGCTGCTGGCGGGTGGCCAGCGGAGTGAGGCACCACGGGGACTCAGATTCTGACCACGAGCAATGCTCGCGTGCCCTTGCTCTGCGGTTCGTGCCACGTGGCGCTGCGACTCGAGCTGGCGGTCGTCCTTCGGACCCGCAGAAACATTGCTGAGCTCGATGAGCTAGGGGAACTACAGGAAAGAAGTGCAGGAAACGGAGGCCGGTCATGCACTCGCCGATACCTCGTTGCTCTGTCATCGTCTTTGCTGTTGCATGATCCTTATCTGGCCTGCCGGCGCCGCGGCTCGAGCTGGCGGTCGCCCTTCGGGCCCGCGGGAACATCTTCTGAGACAAGTGGACGCCGCCGCCTTACTTGCAGGCAGCGCATTGCATTCGCGGACAGCAGCATGGCAGACCGCAGTGAGATCCTCAGTCGCGTGGTGTTGCCAAGCCTGGTGGAGACGCGCGTGATCGACCTGAAGTCCCAATCGCGCGTGCACTGTACCTGCGCGGCGTTCAGGCACGCGCGCGATGCTGCTCGCTCCGCGTTCAACCAGTACGTCGCCAGTGCAACTTTGGACGATGGACAACCGATTGATGATACGCGACCCCGGCCTTGAGTTTCTTTCCCGCGGGCCGCCCGCAGACCTGGCGGCGCGCCTGCGAGCGTTCAGCTCCCGCGCTGAAATGCGCGGGAAGGAGGCGGAGAAGCTAGCGGGCGAGCTACGCCTCGCTCGTTCCTTGCACTCTAAACAAGTTTTATCATGTGGAACTCTGCGACGACATGGCGCAGGCAGCGCTGCGGATTTAGCTCGCACTTGAAAAACGCGGCAGTCTTCTGTCTCCTCCCGCCACTTTCATCGTCGTCCTATTCCCCGCCTCGCCTTCTCCAT